AGCAACCGTTGGTGATTAAAGACCAAACCGGGGCTCACCAATAAAAACATTGCTCTATAGCGCTAATGGTGTGCAAACGTACTTTTAAAAGATATTGCAGTGAAACAACAAATCAGGAATGTTGCATTCTTATTCTTCACTTTACAGCTATCTGAAGCTTGCTCAGCGTCCAGCGTCCATAGACAGGCTTTAGAGAGTTGGAAAGCAGTTGAATAGGTCAGGGAAATATGAATTTAAAGGCAATGCAATAAGAGCAAAGATGTAAGTGGAACTGATGGGATACTAGAAAAATAAAGATGGTTTAAATTGATTAAGCTTTTCCACTCCATAAGGCAATTAGAGCCCAATACATGTCATTTATCTCCTCATTTATCATTGGCCAAGAGCAGAGAACATCACTGCAGGCATTTCTCACACCATAATGAGAGACAGAGGTCTAAAATAATCAGTTTCTATTTTAATATAAAAGTTTAATAAGAAAACCAGGAGGGCCAAAGAACATGAGGTGCATTCTAAATACTTGATGGAGTCAATTTAATGTAATTTTCAGATACACCTTAATGTCTGTTTGTCCACTTCCAAGTAATTCAGCATGAACATATAAGCCGATTTTATATGAGAAATGAAAAGCGTGAACAGCTGTATTTCTGTTGAGGTGGCCACAGTGATATATAAAGTATTTTGTACGGTCCATGGGTCCATGTTGCCTCTGTCTCCCTCCTCTTGGTAGTCTATTTTCTCTCTGGTCACTCCACTCTGCTCCTCTAATGATTTATCGGTCCATCTCTTCTCTCTATTTGCTCTTTGTGCGTCTCACTTTTTCACCATCCTCCTGCTTCTGCTTTCGTCCTATCAGGTGCTAAGATCTGCTTCACTTCTTTGGTTCCCTGCACTCACGCACTTTGAGGAACATTATTATTTACGGAATAAGGTAAGGGTATTAAGTGCAGCATGCTTTTAGCTTCACGGTGAACATGATGACAAGAAAGGATGACCAACCTCAGCAGTGAATAATAAATGCACAGTAAGTGGTGTTGTGTTTTTACTTATGTTGTCAAAACACATTAACCAACATCTGTTGTTGTAGTCCGGAGGTTTGACAGCTTGTTCTTATGGCTTGAATCAACTAGGACAATTAAAAAAGGATTCAACCAATCCAGTCAAAATATTGTTCTAAATCAGAAAAATATTCCATCTGTCCTTTAATGCTGCTGCTATAAAAGCCTGTTGCTGGAGGCTTTTGTTTGTAGTTACCGCAGTACCATTTTGCACATGCTCATTTAACATCTGCCATGTTTTTTTATCAAGATACAATTAAAAACATGTTTGAATTGTCAGTAAAATGAGGATCAACTATTAAGTGAATTCTGGTATACTTTAATGCACTCATCTAGAATGCAAAGTAGGACAGACAGCAGACGACAATTCAACATATACAAATATGCAGAAAGGCTCGCAGGAATACTGTATTGATTTCAAATATTTGTTCTCCTGCAGATGAAACTTTTCCTGAGTTAATGTGTTGAGTCAGCAGAACAATTTAGTCAGACGTACTCTTTTGTTTCTTTTGTTTTTTGAAGTAACTGCTTTAAAAATGTATGTGGCTGCTGTTGAAGCCAATGGTACTTTAATTCAGTTTTAAGGAATATTTGAATATATTGGGGGGTCCTTTCAATATATACTGTGATATAAGCCTTTTAGTGAAAAATAATAAATTCTCAGTTAAAGGGGACCTATCATGCAAAATGCACTTTTGTACGTCTTTTATACATGAATATGTGTCCCCGGTGTTCCAGGGAACTCACCAAGTGTCAGAAAACACAACCCTCTCTATTTTCCTCCATACCCAAATCTCTAAAAAAGGGGCTGCAACGGATCTGATCAAAACTGATCCAGATTTGAACACTTTACTGACGTCAGGATGGTGGCGCTACAGCTATTGGGCCAACTCTCCACCTATCAGGGGAATGTGGGGTTGGGCCACGGCCGGCCATTGTCGCTCGAAAGCGCTGGAGACGCTGTAGTACATATGCCAGGCCTGTAAGTGGCGCTGTAGTCTGCCACAAAAGCAGCGAAGAAGACTTCCCGTGCATAGTTACCATGGTTACCCTTCTGTTTATTCTCCGCTGTGGCTTTTTTTCTCCCTCCCTGAGGCAAGCGTTTGCTCCCGCTGCTTTAATTCAATGCAATCCCTCCCCGTCGAGGCAAGCACTGTAATTCTCTCCGGTTAGTCCACCAGCAGATGACAAACACCCACCTCTCCGCCTCTTCCAAGGAACGAGGGGACCGTGCAGCAGAGTTTCAGTTTCAGTTTCTTTCGCCGGTCAAGATGTCCGTTAAAGTTTAAATCTTCCGGACAAAATTTGAAAAGTGCCCGTCCAAGGTCTTCTTTGTTATTTATTGAGCTTTAAAACAAATGAATAACGACTCTATATAATAATAGGCTATAATAAAACGCGGAAGACGGAGATCTATTTTTCTCCCCCTCTTCTGACAGCCCAGCAGCTGTTCAGAGCGCGCTCCCCTCTCCTGCAGGGGGGCGTGGTCAGCTGCAGCTCACAGAATCAGCCCCCTGCAAAAACAGTGCTGGAGAACAACAAATAGAGCGAAATGAGGCATGGCTAAAATGCATGATCTGTTTGGTATTTTGAAAACAGAAACGTATAAATATACCTTATATAGGTATGGCCCTACAATATATCATTTAAATATAGCATGATAGGTCCACTTTAAATTAAGTGTGAATCAGCAGTGTAGCTGTTTGGTTCTTTACATCAACGTATCACTATCATTTTTTAAAAGTTCTAATCTAACCTCTAAGCCAAATTTAATTGTATTCAGAACAACTCAACAAAAACAGAAACTATGTGAGAGCCCGTTATGAGAATAGAGCAGCTCTTACATAAATCTTGTTTGTTTTTCTCTCAACGTCATCCAATAATAACCTCAGCAAAACTTTGACCATCTCCTTTTCAGCACTGTTATATGAAAGGTAAATAAGACTCATAACATCAGAGGTAAAGTACTCCTTTGCTCATCGTGCTGACACAAAATAAGACTGATATATGATTTCCCTTAGTTGAGAAAATATATGAATATACTTACTCAACTAAGCTGCGGCATCTTGCTGGAGAGTGACGCGTGTGGTGGAATATTTCCCCACCAGCAGCATCAAAGCTTCTCTATAAATACACGCACAGACGCAAACACACAATGACCCACATGCAAAGCAAACACACAGGCTGCAACTACGAGAGTGAATGGAAATGGGAAAACGTTAAAACAATTATCCCTTTGGGATTCTAAATGGAAGAGAAGGAAACACACATACACACAAAATCATGCACAAACACACCGATCCAGAAAACATCAAACAGAAGATGTAAACGGCATGTTTGTGCTCAGTCTTATAAAAAAAGGTTGGCTATTTATCATGAAGATGAGCCAATTAACTACAGTGGCAGTTCAGAAGAATGATTGTTTGATGAGATTGAGAAGAGAATAAAATATGGTCATGTTACCAATAATGCCCTTTTAGTTGCATTCCCCACATTTAATGTATGTTCAATGTGTCCAACAAAGATAGGCCTAAATCCTGCCGATGATAGTATTTCTTTAATTTAAAAAAGTCTTGATAAACTGCCTGTTTTTCGCGAATTACATAATTAGATCTGCATCAGTATTGAATCAGTTAAAAGTAAATGTAATGTTGCCATTTGTATTGGCAATAGGTGTTGCAAGACGATACAATGAATTAGAGATTTTTTAAGTATGTGTAAGTGGGAAAACAATAATGTGAGAGAATGTAATGTGTGGTGTAAGGGAGAACAGTGAGTGGGAACTGAAAAGTAATGTTAAAAAATGGCAAAAACCCTGTGGAAGAAAGACATTTCATGTCGAAAGCTGTCAATAAGGCAACCAGACAGCAGTTGGACATTCAATTCAATGTCGCTGTTACATTTACTAGAGAATATGTTACTAGTGTTTAGCAGGGAGAAAGCCATACTCTACCACCTTCCAACCACACATGTTCCCATTTTACATCTCATCTACAAGATTTACTGCTTCATATTAAAACACAGACAGTGCCGCATTACAAAAAACATCAGAATTTGTACATTTTAAAACATAAAACATTTATTTTAAAGGGTGAAACAATGTGCTCTCAATGTGCAAAGACAGCTATGAGACCACTGATAACCTGTGATAACCATATTTCAGATTTAACATTTTCAAGACAGGAATTTTGAATCCCCACGTTTTGACTGTTCTTTGGTCATCTTCATATTAGATTAAAACAATGCACAGATTCCCTTTTAACAATCCTTTGAATTATGGACTTCAGAGATATGCCAGTTTAAGACCAACTAATCACGTGCAGTGTGATGTTATCTTATTAAAGGATTAAATGTCAAAACACATTTTTAAAATGAGCCATTGCTCTTAAACGGGACACCTTCGTGGTAAGCGTGGCGCATTCATGTATAAAGCACATCAACAATCCATTTGGGTCCTAAAGAAAATGGGAGACTTTTATACGAGATGTGATTTCTCTCCGGGATAGGCATTGTCTGATTTTTGCTGCACAAGCACGAAAAAGCCAAATGGTCAGAAGGATTCTTTTTGTCCCACAGGAAATCATCTTAAATCCGAAAAGCCAAAGGATTAAAATCAACCGGTGACATGTCCCGAGGCTGTTTGAGGCCCCTCATAAGTGCATATCTGGCAATGAGGTGTTTTGTTATTGTCGCCTCGAGTCCGGAATCATAACAGGTTTGGACTGTCCTGTCCCTCCACGAGACAGCCCACCATTTGTTTCATTTTGCAAGAGATTGTTTTCAGAAGACTGTATCCCTTATGATCCCTTTTATTCCAACTGTCCCACATATTTTTATCATATATGGTATTTTTAAACACATTATCAAAATAATGACGATTTTTTCCTGAAATTTAAATATTAGTGTTATAAGAGGAAGTGTTTAGTCGAGTGTTAAACTTACCAGTTTGCTGAGTGGGAATTCCCTTTACATCCTACTGCAGGTGTCGGTGCGCTGCGCTATCTCCAACACTGGACCCCGATTCACTCCAGAGCTCTCCAGGACAGCCGACTGTCAGCCAAAAACGTGACCAGAATAATTTGCCTCCGTTTTGACATAAATATTACAGCGGGAGGGGGGGAGAACCTTGCACGTCTGCAGATGCAGAGCTCAGTAGTGATGGCTCACAACACATCAGGTAATCTCACAATGTTTGGGCGTTTTCTTAAAATTCCCCACTCAACAAGGCGCTCCACCTGTCCACTTTTATGCAGCAGACTTGCACAGCATCCCACACACGGACCGGCCAAACGCATGATAATGCGCTAACCGCTCGCTGGAGCGCAGTCGCTCCATCCCATCGACCAATACGGTGATCTGCAAGCGCAGGGGGAGGGAGGGAGGGAGGATGGAAAGGGGGTTTTGTAGGGGGGAGGAGGAGAAATGGATGCGGGAGGAGTGGGGGGCCGGGGATTGTGTGTGATGGGTAGCCTTCCTTCCACAAGGACGACCTGAGATTCCTCAAGGGTGAACGCTCCTCTGTTGTAATTCAACGAGATCTCCCAATTACTTGCCTCTCCCTCTCTAAAACATTTTACACACACTTCACCTTAACTCCCTCAAAGGAAAATGACTGGATTCAGGCTTGACTCGATAATATCAGTCTCCCCCCACTGTGGAGGAGGCTTTTGAAGGTTTATGTCTTTGCTGCACAGGCTGTGCAGCGAGTGTCTCATATCTGAATTTCCATGTGGCGACTTCATCACTCCTGTAGGATGAGATGGTTAAAGAGAAGATTGATGAGGCTTGAATACATATTTCACCTGAGATTATCATCTCAATGTAAGCGGCATCCTTACATGTGGAGTATTGTAAGCACGATTACTAGCTGTGTGCAGAGATCAAGGTCACTGACTGGAAATTTGTGACCTTGGGCGCAGGATAAACATGAGGTCCCTGTCACTGCAGTTCTCACACTGAAACACAGAAAGTTGTTTTAGAAAGAGGTGTAAATTACTGTGCACGTGAATATGTGAGAGAAACTGTGCAGAGGGAGATTTTGATAAATGGTGTGAACACCTGGAGTGTCTGAGGAAAGCCGGGTCAGCCGGCTTTGGCTGTTTGGAAACTCCCATAGTGGAATGTGTGCTAATATACCAAAACATCTTAATTAACACTTTTTATGTTTGTTTTCCCCAAATGAATGTATTACAAAACCAGACTGATATTTGGTAAATGGTTCCTGGACCCTGTTACACTTGCATTTGAAGTTTCCATGTTTGACCGTATTATGCTAATAAACAGATGGTGGAATAAATACTGTTTATATAACCTTGAACAAGAAACATGACATGCCTCTTAAACTAAATAAAATCATTGATGCCTCTCATGCACCTCCACCCACACTCCTTGCCCTAGTGTTTTATATTTTATCCTTATCTTGACAGTGCATTTTTCTACTTTGTATCAGTATTATCATCATGATTTATAGAGTATAGCCCTTCAGTTTTTATTCGTGAAGGTGTTATTTTTAAAGCAATAGTTTGACATTTTAGGAAATATGCTCACACACTTTCTTGAAATTAGTTAGATGAGAAGATAGACACAACTTAGCTACAGTCAGCAGCTGATTAGCCTAGCTTAGCATAATGGCTGGAAACTGAGGGAAACTTACAGCATGGCTTTTACTGAAATGTACCTCACAACACCTCTAAAGCTCAGCAATCAAAAAAACATACCTCTTTTTATACAGAGTCCTGCAGGAGTCCCAAACCCACATAAGTGAGCATTTAGTTAGCATTGTTGCACATTTGTTCCTTTGCCTTGAAGAGGTTTCTTATTTTACCTAAGGTCTTGTAGTCAACACAAACTTAAGAATTCTTTACATTTTGTTCTACAACATAAAATACATAAGTAAATACTTAATGCGTTTTTAATGTTTGTTAAAGAAGGAAGTTGCTTAGTAATGACTAAAGGTGATTACAGAGGTTGTTAGGGACAGAATGAAACGTATCCACTCAGTGGTGCATGCAACCATAGTTTTGTTGATAGCCAATTTCATCTTTTTACTGGAGATTGTATTTGTGCCTCAAAAAGACAGCATCCCTGAAGCACTCCATTGTGGTTTTACAGGGGGTTATGTGGTGGACAATTTCTGGAAGCAGTAACTTCCTGAAGTAACCAAAGATTACCTGTCAACCTCAAGACTATAGCCACATAACAACAGTATATATTACGATATTTATATATAAAAAGTGTGGTAGTGACGATTTGTTACTTATGGCCAAAGTTATGCTAGCTGTTCCAGTCATTGTGCTAAGCTAAACTAGTGGTAGCTATCTTCTCATCTACCTCTTGGCTACCTCTACCTATTGTGTCTTCACATTGTATTACTGTATAGGCCCATGTTTGGTGCTAGGCTTTATGTGTGTGTGCAACAAAGAAATGTGTGTAAAGCGACTGCAAGGTTATGGGAGCAAAAGCGGGGTAACATAATGACTGTGTGATATTTTAAAGAGATCTTTCTAAACGTGTCATGGTGTCAGTCTAAACATTTCAGCAGTTTTTCTGTTAACCCCCGAAACCCACTTCACAACCCACCACCTCTGTCACCATATTTTCCCTGTGGTCCACCTTTCTTTTTCACTGCTTCACACATTTTGCAGGACAGTGAGGACCCCTGTGAGCCCGCAGTCGAGTATTGTTTTCCCGACAAACACAAATAATTGCCCTTGCTACCGATCTGAATCTCTTGTGAAAACAGTCACATACAAATGCAAAGCTAGCCAGTGATTAGGAGCATCTGCCAAACACCCACCTACCATATGCCCGCGTCACTCAGCCAAGGAAAAATACTGAAAAATGCATCTTAACACGGACACCTTACTAAAAGCAAATAAAAACATACGTACATGACACATTAACACAAAATCACACATGCAAAAACTGTCAAAAATATGAATACAATTGACATCTACAATATGCGCTGAGTCATACTGCAGCCTATAGAGATTGACATAATAAAAGTATTGCGCGACATACACACAAGCATCATCACAGCCTGACAAAAAATGTAAAAACGTATCGTCCATTTGCAATGTTCGGCGAATTCCAGCAGCTTCGGATATATTAACTTTTATTTCATCTTGCCTTGTTAACACCTGTCTATTTGAGTTATGTTCTATATTTCCCAAAATTCTTTTCAGCAACATAAAGGCAAGGGAAACTCAACAAGCAACACGTGACTCAGTCTATATAGAACCTCATTTATCTCAGTCCTCTACAGAGGTTTCCTATAAGAGTGTTAAATGTCAGTGCAAAATGCTGAGGCTTAAATGATGCTCATGCTCTTTGATTTTTCAGGTGTGATATAAAAATGTGACCTTTTCTCTTACATGTTACAGCAGTGGAAAGTTTTCTTTAAAGCCTCATTGTATTGTAGCTGCAGAAACATCTCAAGCTGTCTGCTACTGGAATAAGAAAAAAGCATACGACCAAACCACAAGATGCTTGATAAGTTTTGTTGTTATGTAGAAATGAAATCCCTAGTAGTGTTAAGGACGATTCTTTTTCCTGTAGCAGGTAATTCACAGTATTGTGTTCCTCCCTGTTTCATCCCTTGAGATAGATTTTTCCTACAGGCATAATAAATCAACATCTCCTAGCTTTATCTTCGCTCTTTTTTACAAGGAAGTGAATGTAATCAGGTCACTTTTCCAGATCAATGTCGAAATGAAACATTTATTACAGTGGTAAACTATGAGAATGAAGAGAGGTGATTGAAGATGAGAAATTATTGTATATGTATGTATAAATGTAAATGTAAGTAGGAATAACTTGCATAATGACTTAAAGGACAATCATTGATCAAGTAAGGGGTGAGAATTAATAAGCATTTGCTTCCTCCTACTCCCTTTCGGACACATATGATTTATTTTTTTATTTTTAATTATTATTATTATTATTAATATGAAGATTTTTTTTGTTGAATATATAAATATTATCGTGAATGTGGATAAATACTGTATTTTAACAATACGGTATTCTGTTTTTTCACATTTGTTATTTTTTATTTGTTATTTTTTAATCTGTTCGAAATAAAGATTGAAATGAAATGAATGAAATGAAATGTGTATTGTTTGGCACTTACCGTAGACTCTGTGGTGAGGATAATTGAGTATGTCCCTGTGTCCTGTCCGACAGCATGCCGGGCAGTGAGGCTCAGCATCAATGACCTTGACTTAACCTCTGGTAAGACCTGAGACCCAGTCTAGCATCAGCCGCACTGACCACTGAACAGAAAGTATTAACCTTGTCCTGTATTTCCATTCAAAACTTCTACCAAAGACTGGGGAGCTGCAGGTTTAGAAAACCACATTTCCCAAGGTCTGAAAATATAATGACATACTCTTTATTAAAGGTAATAAATAGGTTGGGAATATAATAATAATGTGTTTAAATGTAGACCCGACTATGCGTGCTACTAAATGATGTGACAGTCAGAGACAGCAAGAGGCCATCTGGAGTGTCAAAAGAGAATATTAGAAAACTATAAATTAATATCTCATGATGCCTCACAATGTCACCCACTGACTGAGTAACACTCAGCTTAAATGAAAGGCACTCGAACACAAGAAGCAAGATTGATCAGATAAACCTGAGAGGAGAGATTGCATAAGACCAACATTCACCGAATTCATGCTGTTAAAGAAAAGCGGACTGAAGTGCTTAAGTGCAGATGGGTAATACAAATAATAAGCAGAGGAGTTGACATAGGAGAAGACAAAGGTAACTATCAAACGATTCAACCTGATAATTGTATGCATGAGATGGAATAAGAAAAAAAAGGCAAAGAAAGGAAAGAGAAAAAACCCACCATGGCTTCACAAAATGACCTTGAGCTGAGGTTTAAGGGAAGCAATCGCTGAGCCAGGGGCATGGGGCAGAAGCAGAGGATTATGGGTGAGGTGGAGTAGCCAATAAGAGGGCTGAAAATATAGACTCAATGGATAACCTAAGTGAGGGAAAGTCAAGAAAGACAGAAGGACAAGAAGATCTGCAGTAGCTTTTGGAGCAGAATTCAACCAATAACGATCATGCATTATGAATAAGGAGGGACACATTTACCTCTTCCCAGCATTAATGAGGAGAAGCAGAGCTCACAGAGGGCGGTTCACTAAATGCCACCTCTGAAGTGTATTTGTAAAGCTCATGGTGTCCTGCCTAAGGATGGGGTAGACTGACATCATGATTTACCCTCTCATTATTGCGACCAGGAAGTAGCCATGGACCTGCACAGTGGGTCTAATATTGACTGTGTCACCCTGAGAGTGTGACCCGCC